TGAATCTCTGTATTTTAAGAAAATTAAAATTTGATCAATTAAATTTTTACTCCTATTTTTTATTTTTATACTTCATATTTAGGATATGAAAATTCCTACAAGCATGTTATAGTTAGTTTTCATTCTTGTTTATTTATATATGATGCTAAAATGTTTTATTTTTCTTAAAAATTTAAGTTTGGGGGATGATAAATTTTAAAGAAACTTAAAAGTTTATTTGTTCTCAGATGTATTTCAAATAAATTTGATTTTGATTTGAAAAATGATTATGTATATGAAGTTATATTAGAGAAGTAAAATTTTGATATTAGAAATGAGTAAGAGAATTTAGTTAAAATTTAAAGTAATGAAGAAAAATTAAAGTTAAAAAATTTTTTAGTATGAAAAATGCTAAGTATTGTGTAACTATCTTTAGTAAGAAAATTGTATTTTTGAAAAATGATAGAAATTTAGAATTTTGTATTTTCAAAACCTAAATTTGTTTTATTGAAATTAATTTTCAAAATTATTATTATGTTCTTAAGTGAAAGAAAAATATGAGAAAAGTGAGAAATTTCTTCTTCCTACATTTCCTAGAAGAGGCTACAAGCGATTTGCTTTGAGAAAGAGTTTCAGATAAGTGTTGTTCGTTTATTAGTGTTGTATGAACTTCTATTTATATAAGAAATTTGTGTTTTGTTATATCTTTCTCATGAAGTCTGAGTAATTTACTTTATCTTTCTCCCTACTCTGAGATATGGTGAAATGAAGGATAATATGGATGTGCCAACATTAAAATATAAAATAAATTGTGATGAACTTTCAACTCTGAACTTAATTTACTTTTTTGTATGGCCAATAGAATTGTTAATATATGTTGTGAAACATATGATCCGGGAAATGGAGTATGAGTTCTACAATAGAGTAAGGATCACATTTGATTCCATGAAGGAGAATTTTGTTCATGGAGTTAAGTTTAAATAAATAAGGAAATATACTTTGTTGGGTGTAGAATTGAAGAATCTTTAGAGTGACATACTAAAATCCTCCATTCGGACTTAGTGTTTAAAAAATAAAGCGAGAGTTAGCCTTCAAGTGAATGGAAGTGGGACCTCTTGAGTGGGACCCAATATCCTTCTAGCCTAGCCACGGATTTAGGGCCTAAACCTAATTTGTGTGTTTTTCTTGCAGGTACAATTAAATGGATGAAAAATACTAAAAGGAGTGAAAAATGATCAAATTTGGAGCAAAAATGAATTGGGGCACCTAAGCGCCCAGTCTGACACCTAAGCGTCAAAGGCCTAACGCCAAAGCACCAGGTACGCCGTGCTTAAGCGCCAAAAGTAAATACTTGATATTTGATGATTCATTGAATTTAAATGAATTTTTAAAGAGGTATTTAAAGCAACCCTTGGTAAAAGCTTGGGAAATATCCCATAGACATGAAAAGTCAATCAATTGGCTTATGAGGAGGCAACATCTAAAAGATTCATTGAATGGAGATGCCTTTTTGAAGAGACACCAATGCACCCCTTGGATTTTTATAAGACAAGACTTAGAGCTTCCAGAAAAAGAGGCCAGCCATCCATCAAACTTTACAGCCCACTGCCGCCGTCGCTGCCGACCACCTTTATTTCATTTTATGTTATTTTGAGTTTTAGTTTGTATTGAAGAAACTTCAAGAGTTTGGTGGAGAGGATTTGAGATAAGTTTTTATCTTTGTGACTACATTTGATTTTAATTTAGACTTCTTATTTGTTTGCATGTTTTCTACTTTCAAACTTAAGTGTGGTTGTGTTTTCTCCATGAATTATGAGTAGTTTTTTTATCTTTTTCCTTAAAATGATAAGTGATTAAATATTTAAAAGGAAGTTGTGTAAAGTATTAGACTTCAATGTTGGAAGAAGTTGTGATGATTTGAAACATTGCACTTCATTTACTTCTTGATTTAGTCAATTAAGATGTTAATACATGTGAGAACATGTAAGATACAAAATGGTGTTGTCTCATTCAACAGAGGGTTGGAATCACATATTGATTTCATGAATGATAATATAATTCATGGGGTTGAGTGCAAATAAATAGGAAAATATATTTAAAGGGTGTAGAATTAGAGGACTTTAGAGTGACAGGGTAAAGCCCCCAATTTGATTTTTAGTTTTAGGTTTTGATACAAGTTGTTAGCCCCCAGGTGGAGAGAGAAGAGGGAACTCTAGAGTGAGAGCTAGTATCTTCTTTACCTGGTCGGTCTTCAAGACTATTAAAACTATATATTAACCAATGTTCTTTATAACATCTCTAGTAAAGGTAAAAAATATTATTGCTCCTATTTGACACAACAAATTTAGTATACTTCCACAACAAAATTTCTATATTTATCATTGATTCATGATAAGGAAAAAATATTTTATTAATATTGTCTTCATCTTGCAAGTATTTTAGTCAAGTTAATTAGTTGCTTACTTAATTTTCAATTATAAAAAAATTATAAAAAAATCAAACTTTCATTCCTATTTTAGCATCTTAAGTTTAAGTAAGAATATATTGCTAAGTAAATTTTGTTATATAAAATTAATCCTCCTTGTAGGATCGATATTCGCGACTTAATTAGAAAGTTTTATATTACTTGATAACGATACGTATACTTGCGTAGCATCCCATATTGAAATATTACCAACTGCATTCTTATTTTCTTCATAGTGAAAGATTTACCTAACTTTTTCTTTGGATCAAGTTTTTGACTTTGTTGCAAATTAAGAATATTTATTAAGAAAATTAATCGTATACATCACATTTTACATCTATCTATATAGAAAATCAGGATCAATTAATGCGGGATTTTGAGAGATATCTGTAAGAAATTGTATGAGCTTTGCGTGGATCAACATGAGACTTTGTTGGAAGAATTTTCATTTTTCTTTCAGAGAGAAAATCCTAAGTATTGTGTTTTTTATTATCTTATAATTACTGTAAATACTTATCTAGTGAATTTGTTTTGATTTAAATAAAGTTTTCGATTGGGTTTCCTCCATGCTAAGTGAGTAATTTTCCTTAAAAATCTCTCCTTGTGATGAGATTTAATCATGGGTATGATTAGAATTGTTTAAGATTTCTCTTATTCCATACTTTTGATGATTCATTACTTCGTAGTTAGTTTACATATTTGATCTGATCAATTGATATGTTAAAATTTGTTGTGAATCCATCTCAACTAGTAGGAATCACATTAATCTCATGGGTTAGAAGGTAAGTCATGGGTTAGTGCAAATATATAGAGAGATATGTTTTGATGGATGTAAATTGATGATTATATGGTGACAGGCTAGAACCTTTATCAATTTAAGTTAGAGTTAGAACATAAGGACTGATTAGTCCTATGGAGAGGACCAAATGGGTAATCTGGAAGTGAGAGGCTAGAACCTACCCGACATAACAAATGATTTAAAAACTTACTTTAGGTTAGTCAACGTTCTTTATGTACTCGGGAGAGTGTAAAAAATATGTATGCACAAAACTGTATTTTGTCCTTTAAACATTTGATTCGTACACTGATTATGATCTTATTTCAAGGGGAAAAGAGATTTTGATTATATAAGAACTTTCCAAGATTTACCCAGTCTCCTTAGATTTGATTTTTTTTAATTTAGTTAACTTCAATTTAAGAGTAAAGTAGTAAATTTAGGAAAATCAAACTTTTCTAAATTCCAAACTAAAACCTGATAGTAGTAGACTAGAATTAGCCTAATGTATTTCTTATCTTGCTTCTTTGTGGGATCGATACTCTGAGTTTTAAAGAAAATCCAATATTACTTGAAACGATAGCATGTGCAATATAAATTAATTTTAAATTCTACAACATATCTATTTTGACACTAAAATCAGGTCAAATTTTTTGCAATAAAACTAAATAACTACGTAATTACGGTCATGTCATAGTTTATGAGCAAATAGACAAAAGATTCATTTAAAATATGTGATTTAATAGGTTGGTCATAATAGGTTGTAACTTGAAAATTATCATCCATTAAGATGCTAGATTGAAATTCGATGATTTCAAGTAGAATGGGAAATCAAGTGCCATATTTATAGATCACTAGAGTCGATCTTGAAATGTGAGAGTTGTAATGATTTAAAAAAAAATGAACTTTTCAAACAATATGCACACAAATAATTTACTGAAAGTAGGAATGAAGGCCACCAAAGTGGTGCTGACTAGTCTCAAACAATAGGCAAAGCTCGTTGTCTCTATACGCCTTTGTATACAAACAATTTAGTGCATGAGAATGACATATGGCTCCATGAGACGGGCCTATCCAATTCGGCCTAATTTGTTATGATTTAGCTTGATTGGATAATTTCAATTTTGCTTCCCAAGTGCACTTATAAGATTCCACAAATTTTACTTGAGTTTACGGGCCTATCCAATTCGGCCTAATTTGTTATGATTCAGCTTGATTGGATAATTTCAATTTTGCTTCCCAAATGCACTTATAAGATTCCACAAATTTTACTTGAGTTGAGCTTAACTAGCATTGATCCAATCACATACTTATAGAATAAAAAATTAAATTGATATTCTACATAAAAGAACAAAAATACTTCCAATTTTTTATTTTTCTTTGGCAATCAAAACAAATATCCTCTATTATTCACCATTCACGCACGTGATCATTTATCAATGAGGATGTCCTGCTTAGTGATGCCTAATATCTACGGTCCGGATCGGATGAACGAATGATCGGACGGTTATGGGCATTTAACTAACAACCACACGGGCCACGTCCGTCGCATCTCGGCAAACTCCCTACGGCGAACCACACGCGCCGTCAACGCCGTCATGGCGGACGCACGCTCGCAATGGTGGCAATCTGATATTACCAGAACCTAATAGGGGTAATATGGTCATTTCGCTAAATTAGCACCGTCAATATTGAATTTTTAGGGTATTTCTACGCGGCACTCGCTACCAGCCCGATTTTTTCATCCACAAAAAAGCCATAAACTACGAATTCGCCATCCTTGAGGCATAAATCGGAACTTCGGCCCCCATTGACGCTCTCTTCTTCCTTCCTCTTTCCGCTTTCCTCCTGTTTTTCCATAGTTAGAGAGCGGGATTCGCGAAGGGTTTTCCGATATTTTTATTTTTTGCTTGTCGAACCGATCGGCAGCCGGTGAAATCGCGGCGTTACGTAGAGGGAGGATTCCGGCGAGTTATGCAGGCGGATCAGACGGTGCTGAGCCTGAGGCCTGGTGGTGGCGGCAATCGAGGCAGCAGACTCCTTGCCCCCCGCTTCGATTCGACAGTTTACTCCGGCGCTGGCGGTGTTGCGGCCCTCAGCTCGATCTCTGACGCATCTGTCTTCCGTGCTCATGGCGGCGCATCCAAGGTTATCTCATATCTAGTGCTGCTTTCGACCTCAGTACTAGCGATTTTCCCGTATTTGTCGTCTTCTGCGCTTCCTTGTTCGCGATACCAATTCGGGAGTGTCCAAGTTTGTTTCTTGATGGTCGATCTGATTGAGTTAGTGTTGAATCGGGTAGATTTATTGAAAGTTGAGATCTTGATGACATTTTTGGAGCTTCATCCTCAGTCTGATTGCTTGAATTTACTATTTTTTTGTTTAATTCTGATCCACATATGCTTTGAACCAATTCTTGGAACTCGCTTGATGACGTATCTTCATTTAACATGATAAAAAACAATAGGATAACTCTTTCCGGCGCCATTGGTCGAGTATTTACATCCACCTTTTGAATCCATGGACTTTCTCTTAAAGATTGTGCGCATGTGATCTACGTTAAGCTTGTAGTCTGCACTTTTGGATGGTTGTTTTCTTGATCATGATCCCCTGTTTCTAGACTGGACCTTTTGAAGTTTTTGCCGATTTTAATCCGGAGATAGTTACGTTGCTGCCAGTTTGGTTTTTGACAATTTGAACCGTGCAGTTATGATATTTTTCATGTCCACTTATTGTGCTGCCTTGTTGATTTATTTGTGTTTAAAATTTTGGATGTCATTCAGTTTTTACCTTCTTTTGCAGGGCGGAGAATCAAGGTTTGAGGGGCGTGAACACATTCGCTACACTCGGGACCAGTTATTACAACTTCGTGAGGTACAGTTACTTTCAATGCCTAAAAGTATGAGCAAAACTGAGTTTTTATCCTTTGTTTTAGACAACAAAGGAATATAAAAAAAATTCTGGATTTTGGTTAGAAAAAAAAGCTAGCCATCATTGATTTGTAAGAGAGACTAATATAGTCATATATGTATGTATTATATATTTTGATATTATTTTAATATGTAAGCTGTTGGTTCAGTGAAAGAGGTGAAGAGGTCTGCAAACAAAATTGAGTTGATTTTTGTGTTTTTTCGCAAGATGGGTACATATATGTGCGTGTGCATATATAGTTTTCCAGTTAGGGATGCTATTTTGTTATTATTTAAATGATCGTTTTTGCTGATTATTGTTCAATTCCATAAATAGTTTCTGTTCTAACCTGAACACATCACTTTTTTTTATCTAAGCTATTCTCTATTGTTATTTGGTGGAATTTGTTGAAATTAGCTTCATTGGACCCTTTAAAATGCGTGATTAGCTCAGTTTTAGCTGGAAACTTATTTGGTAGTTGCTTGATAAAGAGGCAATACTTTTATGATTCATAGTTTGAAAAATGAGGTGGAAGAATTTTTAATTTATTTTTGATGTTATGCTTGTCTGTTTTTTGTCACTTGCTTTATTTCTTATGTTCTTATTGTTTCTTTTCTTCCTGTATACTTGATTTGAAGTTAGCAGCAGCCATATTGTAATTTTGGATGATATTTATTTTTATGTTTTTATTGTTTTTTTTTCTTGTTTACTTGATTTTCTGTTAGTTGCAGTCATATTGTAATTTTGGATCATATTTATTAAATCCTTTTATTTATTTCCAATTTTTTTACTTGTTGTGACCTTTGGAGCAGATAACTAAAAAGTATTATGTTGAATTTTGTTTTCATGCATTCCTTCAATACAACGAACTTATACTTTAATAAATGCTTTGCAATGCCTCTTTCAGATATCCTTTCTGGGCCCAATGAAAAAATAATACACGTAATGTAGTTTTTTATAAATAATTATGATAAAAGTTTGATTTAAAATAATAATTCTTATTAAATCATAATAATTCAGGATAAAGCATGATGAATCATTTTTAAGATAATTAGAGTTACAGGCATAAGGACTCTACCATTTATTCTGCTTGGCTAAACTTTCCTTTCTGCATTATCTTCAAGGTTGTTGAAGTTCCTGAGGATATTTTAAAAGTAAAGAAAGAGATAGATGCTGAACTTCATGGCGAGGACCAATCTTGGGGTGGCAGTGATGCCAATGTGAGTTATTGTGCCACCTTTTCAATTATTGTATGCATATCTGAATTCCATTAGATGTTTTATGAACAATTTTTTTAATTTCATATTTTATTTAATTTTTTTTTATCTCTTATTTAAGATTATTATCTTAAAATGCAGTTGCAAAGTCAATTTCAGAATCGCTATTATGAACCCGACAATCGAGATTGGCGTGGCCGTTCAGGACAAGTGCCTTCAAGTGGAGGGGAAAGGTCATGGGATTCTATACGTGAAAATAAAGAGTCAGTTGCATCAAATATAAGGCAACAGGATTCAGGCCAACTTTGGCAGGAACAATTGAGCTCACAATTTTCTTCCCAGATTCAAGTCTCCAAAGGGGTAAGAGTTAGTTTTTAGCTGGATATTATATTAACTTGTTATCCACTTTTGTGATCTTTTTCATTCTGAGTCTGTAGGCAAAGATTAAATCGAACTGATTGGATTATCTTGATCATGCTATTCTTTAGTTTAATTAATAGATTTTAACCATTTATGTCTAATTTCTTTTGAGTTTTTTCTTTTTTTTTTAAAATTTACTTAATGTCATAATGCGGTATTTCTTCTTGATGCTTATTTTGATTTGGCATATTATGGGTTTCTGAATCTAATTAATTTGTAAACTTGATATAGTATATAAATTAATGCTTGGTGTATGTGAGAATAACTCTACATATGCATGTATTGAATGTACTTCGATGATCATGTTGATATCCAATTATTAGCTTTAGAGAATGTTATTTCTCTCACGTGATTTCAACCAATAGAACTATTTTCTATTATATTATTTCTCTATTTAAATTTTTTGTTTTATATTAATTTTCATACTATTTATCAATTATTATTTTTATACTTAAAATATTTTTGTATTACCTTTATTTTATAAATCAAAGTTGCATAATATGAAACTTACATTACTTAATGATTTATTTTTAATTTGCTACAGTTTTTTTTTTTTTTTGTTTTTTTTTTAATTTGCTATAGTTTTGTTATGAGATTAGTTGGGTCTTACTGTCTTCTCTTAATTGTTTTATATTTAAATGAAGTTATTTACATCTATTGATCCTTATAACAGTTTGTTCCATTTGTTTAAATTATTTCTAGGTGCATGAACATCAAGTTGATACCTTTTTTGTTACACTTATCTCATAGTTTTCTTAGCAATAGTTGCTTAGCTTCATTTCCATGGAGTAATTACATGGCTGTCACATTATTGATTTGGAAGATGTCACTCCTTAGCAAAATAGGATAGGTTGAATTCTTCTTAAATGTGTCATCAAAATTTTATAATAATTTAATTACTTGTCAAACTTGTAAAAAAAAAGGATGATAGGTGGCATGTTTATTCTTCTTAAATTTCTAATTTTATTGTATATTTCATCAATCAATATATTTATATGCATTGTTTATTCTCAAACAATTCATATAGTTAATTTTAAACTATTCAAAAGGCTTTTCTATTTAAAATTCTTATTAGCATTTCATGCAATCATAGCTACCCATTGAGAAACTTTTGATGCATGCTGTTGTTCAAATGATCTTTAACATTCTTTAAATTGTGTTTTCACTTTTACTGCTATTAATGAGAAGAACAATTTAGGAGTAGAAAAGTCTATCTTCCTCCCTTTATTTATGTGGATGCGTGATGTTTATATTTCTCTTTTAATGTCCATTAATAGTATTATATAATAATTTTTTGGTATCAGGCATATCTTGGTAAGGGATTAAGCCCAATTTAGTTTTAATTTAAATTTGATATTGACAGCTGTGGTATAGCCTTTTGTTATGTTATTTGATTTTTGAGGTAGCACACGTACCATGGTGTCCAAGTAGGGCTGTCAATTTGGCTCGTTGTTCGTGAACAACTCGTGTTCGGCTCGTTAAGCAGCTCGTGTTCGGCTCGTTCGTTAAGCCTAACGAGCCGAACACGAACAAATTTTTAAG